CTCCCTAAAACGCGGTCGTGAAACACTTCAAGTGCGACTTTGAAAGGGCATAGAAAATCGAGGATTCAACCAAATTCAAAAATTTCTTCGCCCAAATGTGTCAAATAAAGTCTAGATTCGATTTAGCGAAAAAAAAATTCTGGGGTTAGGTGCACTTTAAATAAAGACATTGTCGAACAGACCAAAGATGTGCAGGAAACTGCTCAATCGTATGACCAAAACGTTCCAGGAACCACCACGCTGGAACATGCTAGTACAAAGGCGAAGTGCACTGAGCCAGCAATACCATACGAATACTGCTGACCAGAAGTACCAGCTACTCTTTGTTGTTAACTTTGTTAAATGAATTTACATGTAACAGTATTAAGTGGTATCTTTTAGGGGTCAAATAAAGCCCACGTCATACCCAGATTGGTCTCCTTCAAGGGTTTAATAATTAATTCAAATTTTCCAATGAACATCCCCATCATTTTCATATGGGAAAGACCCGCTTATCCTGGATTTAAATCCAGACCAGTCAATCCAGAGTTATGCAGACCTTTAATTAGGCCACTGTAGCTTCCTGTGCTACCCAAGTTAGGACAAGAATAAACTTTCCTTACTTAGCAGACACTCACCATCTTCTAAATCTTGTTTATTAGCAAATATCAAAATAAGGGCATCTTTCATCTCCCTGTCATTCACTATTCGATGAAGTTCTGTTCTTGCCTCATCTATTCGGTCTCGATCAGCACAATCCACTACAAATATCAAGCCTTGGGTTCCATTGTAATAGTGACGCCATAAAGGGCGAATCTTATCCTGGCCACCAACATCCTGAAAAGAAGATTCCAATGCCAGAGAGTGATTAGCATATGTTTGTAATTTCTTTGCAAAATAACAGGACATTGCCAAGCAGCGGGTTAATGTTATCTATTCAGTTCAGGGATATTTTCTTGACCTAACACCATATTCTCTCCACTGATTTCAGGAGAATCGTATGGAAAATAAATGCAGTGGATTCATTAAGGGTCAGGCACCAGGCAAATTGACCGCCTGTGAGCACAACTTTGCCTGGCTGTTCAACTCTGGGCTTTCAATGCAGCTTTTGTGAATAAAACTTGAATGCAAGTTGCTTTTCTTTGATTTCTGCATGTGCCTTCCCAAAAATAAAACTGAAATTCATTTTAAAAAAGAAAATCTCCTTGTCTTATTCCTTCCTTGACACTGCTCATGTATTGCCCCATGATTCATTGCAAAAGGAAAATTGATTGATGCTCTACATGAAAACCCATCTTGAAATCTCCCAGAATTGCGATGGCTACTGGCAAAAGAACGATCGCACAATATTTTCCTGTTCGACCTCCACCTGAGAAAAAGTCAAGAGGAAAGTAGTGATTTGACCATTTCTTTTCGGAATGTTGAATGGCTAACTTCATGCTCAGTGAAGAGTGAAATCTTTTCAACACCCAGTTAAAATTATTATCGTAGTGTCAAGATTTTTAAATATGATTAAGCAATGTTTAACACATGCAAATATCGAACTCTCTTGTTCAAGGCGATTTCATGTATAGAGTTGAAACATTTCAAAATATTTTGTATAGACAAAATGTTCTAGATTTTTTGTTCAAAAAAAGAAGGCAACAAACGATTGTTATTCATGTTCAGTGAAGAGTGAAATATTTTCAAAGACCCAATTAATTATAAGCTTATTAACAACAAACCAGTTTGCACGGAAATATAAGCTTGAATATTATTCACAGACACAGACATGCTGCTGCTTGTGCAGTCAATCGCTAATTTATTGTTCGAAAAGTCCAGTTTTAGATATACTATGAGCAAACAGTATTTTTCTTTTAGTCCATTGAGAATGGAGCGAAAAAAAAAAAAAGGACACGCCAAAGCTGGAGGCAAGGAGAGGCGAAATTTTTTTTTGTTCCACAACTACAAGAAAATTAAATAGGGACTGCTGGTAGTCTAAGTTTTAGACTGTTAAGATTCACTCCCAAAATTTATTCTCTCCGTAGCCGGTGTCCGTTTCATGTGTTTTTTGACTTAATGCAATGCAAAATTTTACTTGTGAAAATTTTTCGTTTACGATTACTTTTTAAGTAATGGACTTGAAATATCCTGAGATTGTATTTTTTAAAATTTGCCATGGGAGCATGTCCGGACCCATAGGAGGGGAACGGCCATTAGCCCTTCCCATTTATGTGCCCGGCTGCTAAATCCGTATGCCCTCCTGTCAGAAATCTTAATGAATCCCCTGATAACCTAAAATAAAACATCGTGTGCAAAACAACAATCATAACATCAAGCCATAATTTCACTTATAATACTAAATAATGGTAGCAAAGTTACAAAAAGATTTCATTGACAAAGGAAGGAAAATCTGCTGATAAATCGTTACTCAATCTAACCCATCTTTTTACATCAATCAGATACAAACAACCGTGACAGAACTGTATTAAATTTGTTACAGCTAAACCAATGTTCTCTTTTAATGCAATTAAGCAATGTTTTACATATAAATGAAATGTTCCAATACAGTACTGATTTCTTGAAATGAATATAAGCTTGCTAATTAATATCAAACTTGCTAAAATAAATGAACATCTTGCTAAGTTCCACTTGAAATGTGACAACTTCCAGTTTGCTTCTGACAAGTTGTGTATTTGTAAGCACAAATAATACCCTTTCTGTGTCAATGACCAAAGAATCATTGTTAAAGGTTTAACTTTTTATTGACAGACTGCAAAAAAATTGTTGACTTCAAATCACTAAACTGGGAACCATGCCTCATTGAAATTCAAGTTTGCAAGCCCAAGTTGTGGTGTAAGAAAATAATATTATCCACACCTTCACGGAAAGTTTTTAAGTTCAAGACCCCCCAGACCACCCATCTGGAATACCCAGTTGGGCTTCACACTTTCCTTTCAAAATGTTTGCATTGGAGACCACCACCAAATCAAAATTTCCAGTGAACATTCCACGGGATGGGTGTGGATATTGTATGAAACTGCACTTTCAATAATATTGCAGACAGAACTTCAAGTTTGAAAGGATCTTTGGAACTTGCTAGTGAAGAGCAAATTTGGCTTGACATGGTTTGTTACCCTTGAAAGCAAACTGACAATTGATATTGGAACTTTGCTCTGCAAAAGTGCCTAGTTATCAGGGTTGTCAAAAGTAGATGACAGCTGACGAAAATCACCGTCTACTTAATGATCTTGGCCTGCTACTCTACTGGGCTATTCATGTTTCTTCAAAAAAGATGGCAATGTAATCAGTCGCCTACTCCATCAGTATTGCAGCCCACTTCAAAACTTTTTGACAACCCTGAGTTGTGCAGAAAGCAAGATCCAGTTAGACTTAACTCAGTTAGAGTTAGACTTCACTTAGGCTTATTGTGCAGTACCAGAAAATATCCATACTCCCCCCACAGAAGGGATTGGAATTTCCAGGGGGAGTGGGGGGTTCTCTAAGTCCAAAAAAGTGAAAGAAATGCGTCAAGTTTAATTGGAATTTCCAGNGGGGGGGGTCTTGGAAAAAATCCCTTCCGTGGGGGAGGTATGAATATTCTCTGGAACTACACATTCTGGAAACATTCAAACACTTACCCACACATTGAATTTTACATTCTTGTAAGACACTGTCTCCACATTGAATCCTACGGTTGGTATAGTTGTGACTGACTGCCCAAGCTTAAGTTTGTATAAAATGGCTGACAGGAAGGTTAAGAAAATTCACCAGAATCTAACAACACTTAACAAGATGCTGTTTGCAGCTATATTTCACAGACTCGATAGGAATAATAAATAAATAAATAAATAAATAAATAATTAAAGAGCAAGTCACATCAGCCTTAGTTGGTTTTCATGCAGGTCCTCTTTCCTGGTGGAGTTGGAATTTGGAGATGCTGGGTTTTGTGGAGGGAGGAAAATTGGAGAACCCAGATAAAAACCCTCGGAACAAGGCAAGAACCAATAACAAACTCAACCCACATATAGCACCAGTGCACCAGGGCAGAATCAAAATCCAGGCCACATTGGTGGGAGACAAGCCCTCTCACCACTGCACCATCCCTGCTCCCCTACTAGAAAAATAATGCTTATAAATGATAACTATGATATAGTTTCAATGCAGCATGGTAGCAAAAAATCTATAAAAATTACTGTCAATATTTCATGAGTTTCATTGAGGCCAGGCACCAGGTAAATTAACCAGCTCTCAGAACTTTTTCGCCTCCATGTTTGGCCATCTCAAGAAATTTATTAATTTTACTTTGAATTCTTGTTTAGAAGTTCAGTTCAAGAAGACATTCCTGCCTGTGAAAGCCAATTGATTTTCTGCCGAAACCATGATAAAACCGCTGCAAATTTGATTTCAGTTTGACATTTTGCAAAAGCTAGGTCATCCAAATATTATTTTGATTTAATTCAGGTATGGGCAAGAAATATGACGCAAACTAATTAAAAATGAAAAGCACGCTAAATTCAAAAGGATACTTGTTTTTCCAGCAGCATCTAGACCTAACATCAAAATTCTCATTTCTTTGTTACCAAAGATTTTAGATAATAATTTCCCCATGTTGAACAATGCCTGCAAATCAAAAGTAAAGAAAGATGTTAAAGTCAGTCCTAGAGCTCTCTTTTGAACATTACCATGGCATGCCCTGTATTTGAGACCTGTACCACGAAAATCACCTCCCATAATGGAGTAAGAGGTGAAACACAGTCCCTTAATACCCTTACGGTATAAACAGAGGGTAGAATAAAAATATCTATGCTGTAATTTATATTCACCATAAGAAAATGCCCTGCAAGATAACACTCACCAAAAACTGTATTTCTACAATTTGAAAAAGACATAACACAAGCGTGAGCTGTTGACTTAATGGTGTGAGAAAAGAGAGTTTACATTTTAATCAAAATAACAATTTTTCTTCCTTTTTCTTAGTGTTTTTTAAAAGAAGTAGAAAGCATCTTCTGTGTTTCTATCAAGTTATAGAAAGCACTTCAAAGAACTCAAAAAAGCTGTGAAACACTTGCTTGTGGCTCATGTTCACACGGAATTTCTCTTTCTTCCAAACTTCCCCACATGATTCGAACAAAACACAAAAAGTTTTAATAGAAAGATGGAAAATATTTTCCATTTCTTAATTTATGAGAGAATTTTAATTGTATTCCCACTGGTGGTATCAAAGAATAAATTAGACAGTTTAGAAATTAAAGCCTGAGAACAGGAATCCGAAACATGATCTCTGCAATAATGGTGTAGTGCTCTACCAACTGGAGCTGGTAACTTGTGAGTTCACAATAAACTCCTAGTTGGTGAGGACAAGCAAGTGGATGTATCATATCACATATCTGAACTATGGGAGAAAAATATACTAGATGAAAGATCATTACACCAACTCCATATGGTAACATGTCCATGACATGAGAGTCTAAAAGATTACAAATGATACAAAATTGTCTAACATCCTTACTAAATTCAAAGGAATTAGTTCCCTGGTAACCACACTTGAGTTAGGAGCCACAGTGGACTAATAGTTAGAGCACTGGACATCGCTTCAAGTAGCCCAGGTTTGAGTCCTGGCAAGCATCATGGACAGGACACTACTCTACACTGTCTCGCAGTTCCTCCTTCAAGTAATTGTATAATGGGCACTGGTGAATGTAATGCTATCGTTTAACCCTGAAAATACTGAGCGACGAAGGACTTTAATTTTGCGAAAAATTGTCCACCAATGGAACGAGAAGGAGAAGGCTGACAATGGAGCAGTCTATGGTGCAATATGTTCGGATTGCATTGGGTCGAGAACGGGCAAGTTTCTTCTTTTTCTTTGGTTGGAAAACATTTCTGCATTCTCAATACATTAACATAATGTATGCATTAGATTCAACACAGTAGAAATTCGACGTCAGAATCGGTGTCGCATTTCCGTCAGATAATGCGACAAGACCAGTCAAACGTGCAGCAGAAATGCGGCAGCCGATTCAGACTTCGAATTTCTGTCAAATTTAATTTGTTGAATTGAATTCAACACAGCTAAAATGCGACATATGAACCAGGCCTAACAAGTCAACAAACAGCAAAATAGTTTGCCTTTGTTACCACTAACTACATATTTATCAGTTAGGATTCTCAAAGTAAAATGGAGACATTCACAATGCTGACACCTTGTGATTAAACAAGAAATTTGCTTGGTACCAGCAGTTACATGTAGTTATCATTATCACTATTAATTAACTTTAATTTATGGTATATAACCCTGAGTATATTTAGTGTGCCCTGTGAAACTCAGTTTCGTCAGTTTTATACTAGTAAATTCCACATTTTGTGGGTAGTTATTCAGTCAAAGGCTTTTATTGCAGGAAAACTAAAGAACAGAATGCCAAAAATGATTGACTTAACAAAGACCAGTAAAACGTAGGTGTGTGAACCTTCAAATTTCCAAAATTAGCATTAATCAATTAATATAAATAAATGCATGGACCAGAAATAAATTAAAAGTTGTGGTTTACCCTACCTTAAGTTGGGAAGCTAGAGACTTGAAATTTTTTGGAGACATTTGACACAGATGACAGTTTAGAAAATTAAGGGAATTCAAAGACAGACCCCTCTGGGGGAGTATTCGTACTTTGCATTACATTGTTGACAATACCTGCACACTTTTGGCATATATCAAACCTGTATTACAAACAATGCTCACTACTCACAAATCTGCATCCAATATTCATTATTATAGGCATTCTATAAATGATAACCTGTGTTATCATTTCAGCATAATTGTTAGTATTTTTCCGTTTCCTAAACTTCATTGTACGTTTCTCCCCTCAAAGGATAGCTGCTCTTTTTGCAACAGTTGCTTCAGGATGTAACCCTCTTAAAAACGAAAATTCTTTTATTACACGAATATAACGAAAGTTGAAATACGTACGTTTGATATCGACAATCGAGATCTAGACGAAGCAAGGCTTATATTCTCAAGCCATTTGATCTGCCATTGCACAACCCTATATACGATAAACTAAAATTGATTATTTTTCACCGAAAACAAGGTAATACAAGAAAAAGATAGAAAAATACATTATTAACGATTTACATACAATGAAAACTGTGTCAAACACTGTTACAGACAGGACAAAAAATAAACACGATGGCAAAGCGTTCGGCGAAGTGCTCGCCTTTGATTCAAAAACTCCTCAAAGACGGTGAAAATTACCATGCAGATGCCGTAAGTTACGACACTAGATCACACAAACAATGCAATACAACATATGGACGGGAAAAAGTTGCAAAAATGCCTAAATAAACATGGTTTTGATTAGAAGTTTCAAGATTTTCTCAAAGACATGACGGCGTTCGTAGTGTCATGACGAACACGAAAACTTGATTAAAAGCACTTTGTATAAAAAACTAGACTAAAAGCATAGAACAATACATTACCTTGAGGCTTAATCGGCAAATCAGGGTTACTGATCGAAGAAAAGATGGCTTTATGGCTTTCAAAATCTCGTTACTGCATTGTTATATTCTCCGCCATTTTTAGAAAAGAAACACACCTTGGCGAACAACATCCTAGAACCCAGCCCTCTTGAAGAGAAATACGCAAGGAGCACTATGGGTAATAGGTAACTCGGTCGGTTTCGTGATGTTTTGTGCTTACGTTATAACACAGGGTTACAACAAGTTCTCACCAAAAGAGCAAACAACATTAAGCCTACGAACTCACTCAGATTCAAGCCTGTAGATTTACAATACTGGTTTGCTGGTTGCCACAACTGGATGGGTGAGACTTTGGTAACGCGACACTCCTCCACTGTCATTTGTCACACAACTCTTTACGCCTCACTGCCTCAGCCAGTTGCGTGATCGTGACGAGGCAAACATATCGCTGCCTATCGTCAGCTCTAGTTTATTTTTTTTGAAATCTCAGTTAGTTTTTCATTACAACTTTGTGGTTTGTTTTCTTCGAGTAAGTTACAATAGGAAGTCATCTATAAAGAGGGTCAAGACCAAAACTAGCAGGCAATTTTGGAAAATAAAGTAAGTGTTCAATGAAAAATGAGAGAAAACATCAGTTTAATTTCATTTTCCATGCTGCCTCTTTCTTCCCCACTAACTTTACTGTATCTCAAAAGAAAAAAGAGCCAATTGTATAAAACTATCCCCCATAATTCTGGCACTGTTGTTTGCTGTATAGAATTGTACCCAATTTATTACTTGTCAGAGAACATTATTTCATTGTCATTGGTTGAGGGCAAACCAATTTATCATAATTTTCTTACTCAATAAAAAGTGGAATAAGCAATTACACTGCAAGGATTTACACTGTCCACGAAAATTGAAATTCTTCCAAATTTATCTCACCTAAAGGCACATACAAATTTGCAAGGATTTCTAAATATCACTCATCATGTATATTCTTGATTGCACCCAAGAAATAAGGAAAGAGAACTTTCAATAACCAGCCAAGACAATTGTGGTTCACTTTTATGACTTTTATCTAAGAGTGTTTTAATGGAGCTAAATTTGATTTACTCACATTTCCAACCCTTGTTTACTGTGTGTGGGAAATGAAAACTAAGCTGGTTTGCCAAGTCTTTTACTATCAAGTATAAATTTGGAGTTTTGTTTCACAGTGCGAAGATTAGAACCTTAACACTTCACTCTTAATGTACATTTTTTAGTGGCCATAGCCTAAGGACCCTTCATATTAAGACTAATGTATAAAACTAGCATTTTGGCAGTGAAAAAATGCTAGTCTTAACACATTATTAGAAGATCCTTCATTCCATGGTCACCAGAAAGAATGTCAAAAAAATGTTTAGTGTTCACAGTTCAAGTACCTTTACCATAATACAATGGATGATAAATTACTTTCTCGTTTCCACCAGCAATAATTTTTATTAGTCAGTTTGTAAATTTAACCAGCCCAGCATGCAGCAAGATACTTAGAAATCACAAACTTCAAAGTGACAGGACACTTCCAAGTAAAATTAATTCCACACTCAAAATTTCTCATCTCCTTGAGATGGTCAAGATTCTATATAAATAGCACTGACTAAACTGCTTGACGATCATGTGATACAATGTAATGTTTAACTGCGCCATATGATCAGAGTTTCAACATAAAACAAGAAAGCATGTGACTGAAGCAAATCAAGCACCTGGGGCAGACTTGACAAGCCATGTCTATGTTTGGAACCGCCTCACAAACAGTTGGCCAAAAGAAATGTGAATATTTCAACTCCATTGTTCCCAAAAGAACCAAAGTTCAAAATTAACGTCCAAAAATAATCATTTAGCAAAATATTGAAATTAAAACAAGTCATCGTCCAGGCTCAGGTTGTTCAAAAGGTGAATAACAATATCCTCCAGACAAATCACCATCCAGAGGATAGCATGGTTAGTTTTGTCAACACTTATCCACTGGATAGCGATTTATCCATTGGATAGTGTTGTCCAGCCTTCAAACAACTGGGGCCAGAGGTTATTTTGACAGTTGGGACGTGCCAGTAGTGGCTGTTGCTGATGCAGAGAGGTGGCTGTTGTATGGGGGTTAAAATAAGAAAGGACTAAAAAATTGGCTGTTGAAGAGAGGTGGTCATTATTGGAGGTTTGACTGTATATAACTGGAAATGGACTGCATTGATTTGTAAAGAACTCTGGCAGATATGCCTTTGGTATTCATACAAATCCAACACTCTTTTTTACTTAATTTGTATTGTATTTATTACAGACTCTTTATTTCTTGCTCCTCAAATGCACCACGGGCGAGGTGAGAATAAAGTATGTAAGTAAAGTAAAATAAAGAAAATGTGCCATGAGAATTGAATGGTGATCACTGGAGAGGAACTGTCTAGATACTTAAAAATTTCCCCCAAACTTGTAGTAGCAGTAAGGAGAGTTTCTATGCTGATCATGGTGCTATCAGGGTTCTTTAGGAATGACATACTGTTAATAAAGTTCCAAAAGAAATGACTCTCCAAAGGTAACTACTCTCCAAATAATTATAACAACTTCCACAAAAAAACATTATCAACACTGATTTTTTTGCAACAAAGTGTGCATTATCTTTTTCCCTCTAGATAACTAGAAGTTGTTTACACACAAAACTAGACATTGTAAGCCTCTTCCTGCTACATATATGTTGTGCCCACGACTAAAAAAAAAATAACCAAACAAACTAAGAAACTTTAAAAAAAGGGCTGTTAAATATGGAAATTAAAAGTGGTGAGTACATAAAGTAGAAATTATTCCATTGATCACTTCATTGGCTACTCAACTCAGTCATAAGTAAGCATAAAAGTTTTACTAGTGACCCAGTACGTTAATTTTATTGAGAATCGTTCCGTTAGATTGGTCACCGTACTACATGTACTATGAACAATAATATTGTTATTGATGTGGACTGCACTGAAATGTCATTTAATCATGCGGGTGCATTAAGCACGGTTGCCACACATGATAGAAAACTAACACTCTTATCAAAGTAATATACACAGCAGTAGTGGCAGTCAACAAATTTCAAGCCTCGTACAAAGTATTTAATGATAAAAAACAGTCCTACTGAGTTCACTCTGTGTACAACATGTTCAGAGTTTCATCCAGGATGACCATAAGGTAAAAGAATATTAATTATTCAATTGTTGTGAAAACAATATCCATTTTTCTAGCCATTCATCAGGACCGGTGATTGGAACTGAGCCATTGCAATCCTTGAAACAAGCCATCTCCACTTGTCGCACACGATGGTTGCACATACCAGTTTCTGTCCCGGATTCTTGTGAGCCCAAGTTTTTCTTGCACTTCATGTGGTTTCATTGCTGAAATTAAAGAAGTTGTTTGCTAAATCAGTGATTACTAGCTGTATTACTCATGGAACTCTATACCCAACAGAGAAAATAATATGATTGTACTTATTGACTGAGTGGGAGGACATATGGCCCTTGTAGGGCCGTACCCATTTTTAGTAGGGCCATATGCATTTTCCAGCCCTATCACTTCAATGCGTATGACCCTTATACAGGACCTTTTTTCTTATGGTTTTCCAGCGAGTGGGGCCGTATGGGTCATATGATAACACCAATTACTAAATACTCGATCACTGGATAAATTTTAGTGCTGTCAATTTTAAGAATTTTCATTGGCTTAGCCATCATGGTACTGCATATGAGCCACTGTACCATGATCTGCAAATATAGCAAGTATATTGTGAAATTTTTGGGTTCATTTTTATCAATTTTATTTTAGTTTGCTATAATGTTGGGGGTCTTTTTAATAAAGCAATTATTCAACTCGCACATGATTATAGCCAACTCAGCGCTATGCACTTTGTTGGCTATCTATCATCTCATATCCAACATGTGCTTGTGAAATAGTTGTTTATTATAGTCTCAATGAAAATTTCATACAATACTACTGTACATTTACATGTATAATCATAGTATTTAGAAATGATGAAATTGCAGGTGTTTCCAGGGTACAAAATATTCATATCTAGGTAAAAATTCCAGTACCCATAACTCGTAACTCATAAAAGAAATTTCATGGTGTAAATGGTTAACATCATCATACTTTTCAAGCAGTTTAATTTATTTTTCACCACATATAAAATCCCGTACATTTTCCACCAGTAGGTATTCTCAAAGTGCTTTCCAGGGCGAACTCTGGGAAAAGACCTTTTTAGCTTGAACAGTCCTATTACAGAGCACGTGATATTCTCTAGAGAATTCTTCTTTTACACATCTAAACCTTATTGATTCTTATCCACGTAACTATGTGAAAATTTGAAAACAACAATTCTCAGGAGTATCATCACATGGTCTGAAATGGGGCAACAAACCTCCCAAGCTAAAAAGGTCCATTGCCTGGAATTCTTGGAGCATTAGCACAGAAACTATTCATAAACAGACGTATCGATCTTCAAACTCTACTTACCATCTGGTAAATCTTGTTTGTTCGCAAATATTAAAATAATGGCTTCCTTCATGAGTCTGTCATTAATGATTCTGTGGAGTTCTTGTCTGGCTTCATCAATTCTATCCCGATCAGCACAGTCTACTACAAATATCAGGCCCTGGGTACCAGCATAATAATGCCGCCAGAGAGGACGGATCTTGTCTTGTCCTCCAACATCCTGAATTTAGAACAAAATCACCCTAACTTAGTTATTGAAAACCGCCATTCCATGCTTACCAGCAACTCACAATTTTTAAAGGCAGCTTGCGAATGCTACATGTAGTTTAGGTAGCTACAAGTAATATTAATAAAAATCACTTATTAAAGTTAATATATAGATTTAGGCCAGCCTAAAAGC